TTTATTGGGTCATTTAGTGAGTATTGCTGATACTTATGATGGCTTGTCTTTTAATTTCCACTAAATTACTAAAGACAAGAATCAGTTTGTCTGACTGGAGGAACCCCGGACTTCCATGCTGATGTGTGCTGTTTGCAATTCACATCTCACACCGATTGTCATAAATGTAGGATGAGTTTGGGTTGTGATTTCATGCTGACCTTTACACACAGATTAGTTAGATAAAATCTCATCTCAATCACCTATGAATTACCAAAACCGTTTCCCCGAAAATGAGGCCTAACCTGAAAATAAGCCCTCCTATGATTTTTCAGGATGCTTATAACATAAGCCCTGTCCAAAAAATGAGCCCCAGTTAAGTGAAACCCTGCCCTCCACGGTTTTTGTAGCAAAAAATTATGAGAGCCTGTCTTATTTTGGGGGAAACATCTCTCAGGCAGTGGCCCACTTCCCGACTGCTCCTTCCTTGTCCGATCCTCACCCTGTCCCTTACTTGTGGAAGGAGGGGGCGCAGAAGGATTCATCGGCTGCCACTGGCAGGCTGGCTAAGGCTTGCCCTGGTGAGTCCCTCCTCTCGGGCGACTCATGGGGGAGGTGGCTCAGCTGGCACCATTCTTTGCCCTGGACAAGCACTAACCCAGGGCACCTGCAGCAACATCGTTCAACAGCAAACCCAGGAAAAACAAACAGGGGGGATCCTTGCTACCCCAGAGGTTGAGGAAGATGTTTGGAGAATGTGAAGGCTTGAATGTTCTTGTGGCATAAAAGCTTTGCTTGCAGGTGATTTTTGCCTCTCTTGTCCATATGGGTGGCAAGAAAACGAGAAGAAATACTAATGATTGTTTTCGATTTCTTCCCATTGAATAGCACCTAAAGAAGAGATCTGCAGTAAGTATGTCTTTTTCTTTGTTTCTTTTGAGATATATTCCTATTAATACATATGAATATGAGTAGACAGACACACACAGACATACAGGGAGAGAAATGGGCAAGATATAGATCTTGATCTGTAATTGTATTTAAATATTAATTTCATTTTTAGATGACTTAGCAACTTACCGTCCTCTAGAGTAACCAATAGTGAAAGAGACCTGGGCAATGTGCTTTTGATATCTGTGTTTGTCTTATGTGTTTTCATTATGGCTGAGGAAATGTTGAGCAATTGTAAAGGTGAGCAAAGTGGAAGAACCTGATTTCTGCCATTGAATTTTACGTAACGTTTCGTAGTTTAGTCGTGTCTGACTCTTCGTGACCCCACGGACCGGAGCACACCAGGCCCTCCTGTCTTCCGCTGCCTCCCGGAGTTGGGTCAGATTCATGTTAGTTGCTTCGGTGACACTGTCCAACCATCTCATCCTCTGTCGTCCCCTTCTCCTCTTGCCTTCACACTTTCCCAACATCAGGGTCTTTTCCAGGGAGTCCTCTCTTCTCATGAGAAGGCCAAAGTACTGGAGCCTCAGCTTCAGGATCTGTCCTTCCAGTGAGCACTCAGGGTTGATTTCCTTTGAATTTTACACCTTCATATAAATTTTGGAGGACTCATTTGGGTACAATATTCTTTTGAGGAATAGCTTTTGCTGCCACTTTACTGAGACGTAACTCAAATGAAATGTTGATTAAATACATTTGATCCCTCGAGCCTTTGATGTATATATTCCAGAATGTATTGCCTGCTTGCCCTCCAGAATGATGATTGACTGCTCCTTTCTCTCTTTCAGGAGCCTGAACCTCTGGTAGGCGGTCTGCTAAACAGTCTTCCAGTGGTGAGTCCTGACAAGGGGGCCGCGGGGAGCCCGGGTAGACATTTCCCAATTCTAAGGATACTTTCCATACCTCGGTTGTATTGCACGGCAGTCACGTGGTATATATACCGGGATGAGTGCCCCAATTTCTTTCATGTTACCAATTCATTTTCTTTGAATCGAATTGTTGTAGCCAGCAAGCCATGCTGCTGATAAAGCTTTGTGTCTTGTTTGATGGGGCACGAAAACCCCGTCATTTTAATTTTTTTCTTTAAAAAAAGTGTATTTTACTGGTACTCAAAATATGGATATGTCATGGATATGTCAG